AATTTTTATGATTTTTTTAGTGAGAGAGTCTTAATTATTTTTTTTTTTTTTTTTTTTTTTATTAAAAAAAAAAAAAAAAAAAAAAAAAAAAAAAAACATAAAATGGATCAGGCATTTATAGGCACGACTTTATTTGTTCGAGCAGCTGAATTGTGTAAATTCAGCTGATTCTCTCAGGGTTACATGGTTTCACAAACTTCCTGAAATGTTTAATTCATTCAAATTAAATTCATTCTCCCTTAAAGAAAAAAAAAACGTATTTTTCATTCCACTTCAATATGCTATTCAAGCCCATATAAGCCAGTACTTATTTTAATTATTATTTAGAAACGCATTTTATTTTTAAAGCCATTTTTGTTTCTCTTTATTTCCTTTTATGTACGTCCTTTAAAAAAAAACGAAAAGTCCTCTTGTGGAAATTTTATACGTGAAAATGTTTTGATAACAGATGACAAAAATAAAAGTATGGATCTTCTGTGTATCATGTTTTTTTATTATTTTATGTGTCAAAATTAGAATCCGTCAATGCCTCATCCAATTAGTCTAAAGGATTTGAATGAATGCATTCAAGCTGTAAAATTGATATCTTTAAAAGGTAAATACATTATTTAACAAAGAAGATGTGCTCTGTCGGATAAACGATCTTTGTTAGAACAGAAATATGACTCAGCAGAGGTGAGCCAATATTGAGCTATAAACATTTTTATTTTGACTCCATTCGTTAATGTTCCACCTCTTAAAGGGCCTCGCCATGATTATTTTAGTTCAGGCTGCTTGTGTGATTCACCCAGGTGGAAACCCGATGGTCTGTCTGAAAAGAAAGGTCCACTCAAATCCATATGGTCCTCTGATGAAGTGTTGATGAATGGGATACGAGGACTGAGAGCCCAGAGACAATAATTGGCACTTTCCGGTGCAGAAGCGGTTAAGAGTGCAGGACAGGCAGGAGGAGACTGACAGGAACCTAACGCCGTCCACAACCGAACCTTTCAATGCCTGATTA